CGAACTGGCGGAGATAGCGATGAACTGTGCGCGTCGGTAAAGAAGTGCCGCGTCTCAACAGCATGTGGGGCGGTAATCGGTCCATTCGGGTTGGTATTGGTCGACGGACGCCATGCGACTAGGAACGTGTGTAGGGTCGGCGAAGTGACGGTGACTTTTGGACGGAGACGATGGTCTCGGACAGCAGATCGAGGCGAGCTCTGGGTCGAGCTCAATTCTCAACTTGCGAGCTAAGAAACGAACCTAGAAGGCCAACAACAACGATATGAGCGGCGGGTGACGGAGGAGTTAGTGGAGTGACCACCGACGGACGAGTGACGAGTTTCTGGCTTACGATCGCGACGCTGATATACGACGGACTGTTGGTGAACCATGAGTCCACGAGCAGAATCGGCACTGAAGTAGTGGTGAAGAACGGAGCAACGCCGAACGACACGGTAATGAACACCACCCCAACGAACAATTCTGTGGTAATTAACGCAGTGATGAACGTTGCAACGGACGAGAAGGAAGTGGCGACTGCATTCCAGGGTGTTGAGTGTTGTGCGGGTTGCTCTTAATGCAATTCTTAAGCATTTTGTTCGTTTTAACAAGTCCGCTATTGTTCTTCATCGTCAGTCATTTTGCACTTGAAACATTCGCTTGTTACCTCAAGTAGACCACAGGTAATCTTCCCATAGATTTCAACCACACATCATCCAATTCAACATATTCGTCATCGTATACCACTTCAATTTCCAATCCGATAAGGAATACATAAACAGACTCAACCTTCGCCATTTTCACACACACAGTTCGTTTTGTCTGAGTTGTTCCCGTGAACTAAAACTCCACCGGAGTATCCCCAGACTGTACACGAAATGCTTGACGCTCTTGTTGTAATCGAAAAGTATATTTCCACCGTTAAACTGAGAAGTTGGTAACCACTGCCATTCTATGTATCCCTTCCATGTCATCAAGTATTCTCGGACCCCCGTTAAGCGCGAATTCATTAATCCATCGTACATCTCAAATCGCTTCCACCTCATAAAAATTCTGGGCTCGATCGGGTTCAAAATATCATCTGGTAATAGGGTTGCGTAGAATTCGTCGTCTTCCGAGATGTCCAGGCCGGTCTGGGAATAATGCACGCGGTTTCAGCCTACTCACATGTACCTAAGGGTGCGGTGCCCTCAATCTTGAGTTTCCAACGGAAATCATCTGATACCTCGCGAATCCTGACATGGCCATGTCAGAGGTGAGGAAACGTTTTGCTCAGTCCCGGTTGTATTCGAGCCATATAGAGTCATACCGAATCTCTAACTTGGAAATATTGTTTGAGCCTATCTGACAATTCTTTCTATACTTGAGTCTGAGCCTTACACCGTTTTGACTTAGCTTCCGCATGTTGATCTGTCGCCCAAGATTGAGCATACTCAGATTGACGTTGAGGATTCCTTTGCCCCCCATAGTCTGTGTTTTGGTCAATACCCGCGGGTGATTTTACCAGCATTCCACTCACGGTATTCCGGGGGCCCAGCCATGTACCAAGTAGAATGGAGTGTCTAGACGGGTAGTGTCGAAGGCTGTGTTTAAGGCCCACATCAAGTTCTCGACTTGATGATCCCAGTCACTCGGATCTTGTTCTTCCACGTAAGCTCAGATTGCTCGGGTTGCTGTCTGTACGGACTGTTCTTGTTGGCCATTAGCCGGAGGTCTGTAAGCTAGGGTTGCCCTCTCTTTGCATCCCAGCATCTCTCAGAATCGTGTGAAGACCTCGCTCATAAATCTAGGATCTATGTCATGCCTGGCTAGGTCGCTAGCACCGAACGTTGGAACCCTTGCTCTATGTAGGCTGCTACAACTTCCTGAGCTATGATATCTCTCATGGGTTTACAGATGATGAAGTCTGAGAATCCACACTGAAATAGCAATAAGGAAGTGTTGCCACGATCTGGCTAAGGGCAGATGGGTCATAAACTCCATATATAACACCTAAAAACTTGGTACAGCGGATACAGTAATTAATCTGTGATAGATTAATTTATGCAAGCAATGTTTTAGCCCTTATACAAAAATTAATCTGTCATTTATAATGACAGATTAATTTTGAACACCCAAATTAATCTGATATTCAAACATATACATTATAGTATGATCTAACAAGTCCTTTGCTATGTGTATCGTACATAAATGTAGTATACATGGTCGCTTGCTAGTGTAATACTCACTAAATGTGCCCACGTTATCTGCCATTTCGTTGTAAAAATTGTAGGCTAACATATGAGTGGTTTAGATATGCCTAAAAGCTAACCTTTGCTATGTGTATCGTACATAAATGTAGTATACATGGTCGCTTGCTCGTGTAATACTCACTAAATGTGCCCACGTTATCTGCCATTTCGCTGTAAAAATTGTAGGCTAACATATGAGTGGTTTAGATATGCCTAATAGCTAATGTATGTACAGTAGTACTACATCAATGTTTTCAACTAACTGAAATCAATGATTACTAAAAGGGAAGCTCAGTGGTTGCTCAGCAACAAATTACTGATACGATTCCGGTTCTCACTTAGCTGATTAAACATGTGAAAGTCTTCGAACCACTAATAACCGACCGTTCTCGGGCGGATAATAGCCCTATTTTGACATATGATTTTTGAACATTTAATGACAGATCAATTCTGAATTGAGAGACTTTCAATTGTCAAATTAATCTAATATCAATGACATATTCATTTTGAAGTCAGATAAATTATTGTAATGACTGTAGCGAGAATATTACCACGATTCGGTGCTGAACCCTTTGTGGTGACACAATCTTCACATTCTTTCACAAAAACTTTGTCGTCTCCATACATTCTAATCCAATATTTTTCTTGGCGTAGCCGCTCTTGGGTTATGTTACTTCCTTGATGACCTCCTTGGAAGTCTTTATGACATAGAGGTAATAGATCCTTCTGGAGTGTTCTAGAAAACACAAACATTAGGATACCGCCGGCGTCCCTAAGTCAAGCCGGTGTTGACCGGTTTCGGTAGTACAACACACTCCGGGAATTCAATGCAAATTGATCAGCGACCTTGGCTGCTTCTTCTGCTTCGACGACTGAGAGTTTCCCAAGTCTCCACGCAAGTAAGTCGTGAGCCAACGCATGTAAGGTTTTGTTTGATGATGGGTGTAAATACGGCGCCACCGCTCTACAATTTTGGCTGCGGGCGTCGTCCCTTCAGGCAATTACTCCCTGGATTCCATAGTATTATCAGACATCCCAGAATCAGGTTGTATATTAGAGCCTCGTAAATTTCTGGATAAGCTGGCGGTAAAGATATGTCTCTACTCCTGGTTACGGCAACGAAGATCTGAGAGGAAGGCACTACTGGACTGGCCGTGACTTTTACCTACATATGCTAAAATGTCAACAAATGGAAACTTACTCGTCCCGTTCTTTCTTCTACTTCTCTGGGTGCTAATCGCTCCGATTCCGTGACTTATTTCACAGAATTTATGACCTCTAGTGTACGCAGTTTCACAAGCTTCTTGGGTATTATGTTTATTTATTTCACTTGAGCCAACTCGACTGAGTCCATGATTTCACAAAATCCAAGGACAAGGCCGGCTTACCTGTCACATAATCAACACCAGCATTGTATTCCTGTTTCACGAGCCAAACGCATATACTTGAATTCTTTGCGCACGTTTTGAGCTGGGCGAGCAGCAATTGCTATTCCGCTTCAGGCATTGGATGATTCCTTGAGATTGTTGTATAGCTATACGGGAATCACCTACAATGACCAATTCTCGGATATCTCGGTTTATCGTAATCGTATTGACCCTCAAACATGATATACCCTGATGTTCTGCTTGGTTCACCGTAATACCTTCGTAATGAAATCCTAGGGCTACAATTACATCCCAGGTAGGTTGGTCCCAGAGAATACACCCAGAAATTCCTGGTCGATCCATGGTTTTGGCTAACCAATCAAAACGGAGGAACAAGCCCTCATAATATGCCTCTAACATCGCGAGACTAATAGGAGGCACTCTGCCTCCACGGTCTTTAACTGAGATGAGACTCTCAGCAATTTGATCAAGCTTGTCACGTGACGTGATTCCAGCTCCCAGCATTGACGCTAATACATCTTCATCATTCTGAACCTTAGGTACTTCGAGTGGCCAAGGTGATAACCTATCGGCCTACAGCTCACAACGGCCCTCCAAGAACTTAGACTTGAACAATCGTCCCAGAACGGAATAGCGCGTATACACTTTCAATGTCACGTTACCCACCAGCGTAGGATAAAAGACTCTGATAACTCTGAGTAATATAGCTATTCTCTGTCGACTGGTTGCGTAATTCTGGTCATACAATACTCTGTCTGTGAGCCGAACTGGGTATATCTTTCCATCATAATCTTGGTCCAGTACAGCAGTTACTGCTCAAGCGTTCGCATGCAAGATAGTAACGAACGAACTTCCTTTCTCTGGATATCTCAGCAATGGTGTAGAAACAATTTTTGTGTTTAAGAATTTTGAAAGCTAGACTTTGCAGGTTCCAGGGCTCTCTCAATCAGGTCGGATCTGTTCGTCTGTTAAGTCATACAGAACAGCTGCGACCACTGAGGTGTTCTGTAAGAAATTGTTGATATTGTTGAGACTTCCCAGAAATGACTGCACACCCTTGAGAGTGGACGGGAATGACAAATGTTTGACACCTTTCGTGGTCTTATGCTTAGTTCTAATCCATTCAACGCCAATTTCATGTGAAGGATAAGAGATAGTTCTCTTGCCAAAATCGGAAGATTCACGGAGATTCTCCAATATCGTAGCCGATATAATAGCCGATCCAGATTGATACACATTTGGTCGCAGGTCTCTGATCCATACGTGATGTCGTCTATAAACGAACTCCGTCCCAGAACAGGCCTGAGCTCAGCACGTGCGGGAATATTCCTCATGAATACAGTTATCTTCGGTCCGGGGAGACAACTCCTGACTTTGACCTTATTCCCAGGTATGACCCCTACGAATTCCAAGGCTTCTGGATCCACCTGGTTTCCCCTTCACCCGGAAGACGCACCAAACCCCAAATACAGCCCTCCAACATCTGTTGGTAGATCAGTAAACCAGTCTATTCCACAGGAAATGATTTAGAGGACATACGAATACTGAGATATATTGTGCTCTGCGAGCCATAGGCACATCCCAGAATCCACTGGCCATGACCAGGCTTAGGCACCACATTACATTCTCAAACCCGATCAAAAGCATCAATCAGCGACAGAGGATAGTGCATGAGGTTGGCCAGTTGGTTTATCAGCCGATAGTCAATACAGTGTCGAATGTCCACACATTCTTTTCCATCACAATATCAATAGGAGAGGCCCATCAGACTCTGAATATTGGATCAGCTTGGACTCCAACAGTTTCTTCAACAGATCATACCCTTTCTGCAGATGATGATGTTGCACTTGCCTAGACCTCCGGGCAATGGGCTTGGCTCCACTCACGTCTAAGTAAAAAAACAATGCATTTTGCAGGAGTGGGCACTTCGGTTCCGGCCCCTAGAAGAATCCTTTGCTGCTTTTCCAAAATAGCTCGTTCCTTAGCAACCATCTCTCGAGGGTTATCCATATCCGCAACCGGACTCACATTCTTTAATTCTATGAGAGTAGCCAATTGTCCATGAGGTCGCTCATCAGTTCACTTACTTCATGGAAGGGCACCGTACCTCTTCCCCAACATCTGTTGATTCCATTCTCAGACAGCACGCAAAAACTATGAAATAGACGAGAGATAGGTTAGCCATGATCCGGGGGCTCTGTCGAGCCCGTCTGTAACTCGTCCCTTCGGGGATCGGTATTATTCCCAGACAAATCTGAGCCAATTCTCGGACTAGGGGCTGAGATTCCTAATTGCGGCACTTTCGCTCAAGCTGCAATACTTCTGGTTCAGTCACGTGTATTTAAATAAATTTTGCAAGGGTACGAGTTTCAGCTCCATAATCAGAAGGTGATTTGAGGCTCGCTGGGGTCTCTCCCCACATCCGTGGTTTAGGTGCTGAAACACACTTCCGTCTCAGATTCGGCATGTACTCGTGCTTCTAATTATGAATCATGTTCACCTTCGCAAGAAGAGGATGATATCTTCATAATCAATCTCTTCTTAGGCCAGAAATATGAAGATTCTTTTACCGAGTGTATTGCTTCGAACTATTTCCACACCTTCTTTTGTCGTCATCGTCTGGGAGCACCTGCGAAGGATCAACTTCGTATATTTGTGTTCTCCATTCTCTGTATATCCTGGGAAACGGCCGCACAGAACGTTCTCCATTAGGTAGATATTCTTTCTCCATAACATGCGCTACCATAGTATTCCGATATACAGTAGCTATCAAGTTTGAGCTATTCACTACCTAGGCTGCCTTAGGCTTCCGATTCGAACCATAAACAATACATGTAGCCCACGTTTCACCACATCCGTCCCCGAACCAACCCTAGGAGCTCAAGATTGAGTCAACCGTACTAAAACGGCACAGTGAGATGTTCTCCAGGATGTAGCAATGCGGTATCTTTAACCCATTCGTTGAGGCCCATTCCCAGAAGATCAAACTCAGATCCACCGACAAAACGTAATGATTCCTCGTCAGGAAAGTTTACCACGCCTTCGCTTACACACAGTCCCACCCCTGCAGACATCATGAAATCATAAGATATCTCGACTGTGTTAGATTTGTCACTGCGGTTGCGCAGGATTATATGTTGAAGGACTATGATTGAAGGTCAAGACTGCCCGTTGAGAATTACATTCCTAAGAAAAGAAATTGAGGGTTTCTGGAGTGCAGGTTAGATAGATGGCTGCGGCCACTAGTTTATGAATGATGGGATTTATCGCTCGAGGAGCTTTCTCCTACAACGCCACGAATCATAATCGTTTTCACTCAATCTTCACAAGTGACTTCTAGATTTCCGGCATTATTCAAATAAGTGAAGGTTACGAGAACAAGTTTGGTTTCTCGTCGGTTATGAGCGCAAAAGACTTCTATATGAATACAAGAGTTGAAACAATACTAATATGAAATTTGGAGCACATCATAACGAAGGCCGAGAAGATCAGGATAGTGTGTGGGTTTAGCTAAATCAACCTCAAGATGAGGCACCTCAAAACGATCTGCAATATCAACCAGGGGGAGAACCTCCTCCGGTTGTTGTATAAATTCAACCACACCGACTACAACGTCAACCAAATGTAAGAAAGGTTTCTGGTGTAGCTAAAGCGTCTAAATTTGATGACAACGGTGGTTTTGAATTTTACAAGGCTTGGATAGAGTCAAATTGAAGACAGCAAAACTACTGGAATGTGGTAGTTGATATTGAAGGTCCTGATGCTGGAAATGAAATTCAAATCGAGATTTTGAAGAAAGGATTCTTTTTGCTCGTCTGCCTTCTATCGAAAGAAGCGAAGGAGATATGTAACGTGACTCAGGTCAGTGAGATGTGGAGATATTTTGAACAAGACAAGACGAAATGAATTTTGCAAACTGGCATTCCAATTCTCGCCAAATTGTATGGAGTGGGTTTTAAAAAAGAAAGAACATGGACAAATAATTGTACGAACTTGAGGATTACAGACGTCAGTTGGAAAACATGAAAAATGCTACCTCTGATGAAGATAAGGCAAATATTATTCAGACTAGAGTAAAAGGGACACTTCGAAATGTAATGATGATAATCATCCCACTCTTAACCAAGTTCTCAATAGTCTTCGTGGTGCAGCAGAGATGGATAAAGCCGAGGAAGAACGCAGTAGGAAAATTGAAATTGACGACGAAGAACGTAAGAAAATTGACTCCATGAAGCAAAGTAAGGGAAAGAAACCTTAGAAAGGCAAAATACACATGAAAATCAGTGGATGTAAGAAAGTCACTGAGACCCGCGAGTGTTGGTATTGCAAAGTACCTGTTTAACGGGGTTACACAAAAACTCTAACCGTAACGTTAACCGGTTAGAGTT